AGAAAGTATACTATGAATCCACAGTGCAACAGGAACAATGACCATGTCAAACCACTCACATTGCATGGGAATATCAGGTCCTGTAGCACAAAAATTCAAATATAAAGAACACCAGTAACCTGTAGAGAAATTTCAATAAGCAAAGTGATCTGTATTTCCTGCCTCTTAGTTATTCAAAGAAAAAAAAAATAAGAGCTCATCATTAAGCTCACTTAATATGTCAGCTGCCCTTTACTCCACTTTGTTGGATGCCTCAGGTGTGAACCACAGAGATTCTCTTAAAAGAAAGAAACATGTTGTCTTAGAAGTTTCTTGTCTTCCAAGGACTTCTCCAGCATTTAGGCTAACTTATTTTCCCAATCCCTTGGAACATTCTGTCATCATTCATCAGTCCACTGGGCACTCAGAATATTCCAGGAAAAAAAAAAAGTGGAAAAAAAAGCTGGATTTTCTCCCCCTTATTTTTTGCTGTGACATTTTCAAAATCAGATTTTTCATACATCAGAAGTAAAAGGGACAAAGCTTATTCTATTTAAATTAACATTTCACAATATTTCACAATGTAGAACTTGATTCCATCATGTAGCAATAATAGTTCAGTCCTGCAGATTTGTTCGGAATTCCTTCTTTTCCAAGTATCAGCAATAATAAAAATAATCAGCTGAATTTCCACTTTGAGATGTACTTTATGCTTAAAAAAAAAAAAAAAACTATGAGCCCACTCCCTAACAGTGCATGTCTTCCACAAACTGCTCAATTCTAACATAAAAACATTGGCTTGTAAACAGTGTTTTGTATAGATTCATTTTGCTGAGATTCATTAAACTTGCCCTTCCCCAGACCCTGGGGGTCTAAATACATTCATAATAAACAGCTATACGACTAAGTAGTGACTGCACTACAGAGGGCAGGCGTAAGCAGATTTGTGCGCGATTCATTCATGCTAGATGGCTCTAAGACACTTTAGCTGTTCCAGGAACTGCAATGGTACCACTGAGGAAACCACTTTTTTGCATATCTGCTCCTAACAAGCTCTTGAAAGCAAGGCGATCAGTAAGAAACTATCTACACATACGCAAAAAAAGTCTCTGTATTCTCATATACCAGGTAAAGCTTTTTTATATCCTTAGTTGCTAGCTTTTCTCCTTCACAGGTCTTCCAGTACTGCTTACCAATAATAACAACAAAAAACCCTGTTTGAAAATAGGTCACGTTTGTCTCCAAATATCCTCAGGCCAATATAGGGTTTTGCCCTAACCGATCTTCTCCAATGTTTTACATAGCATACATAAATAAATAAATAATCTGTCCTTTATCTATTGCCGAGGCTGCAAATCAACAACAAACGTTTTAAAAAGTCATCTCCCGTAAACTTAAGTAGTGGAGAACCACCCGAGTGCTGAAGCCTGGCTGGCAGGGCGCACAGAGCCCTTTCCAGGACACATCTACTTATCCAATCGATCCCTTCAGCGACCCGAAGGCAGTAAATCCAAGGCAGCGCCTGTATCGCCAGCAGCAGCGCCGAGGCGCGGGGACACGGGCACTTTGGGGCTTTGTGAGCGGCACGCTCGAGCTGCGAACAGACGGCAGAAGGGGGTTCGCTCGCCCCCGGAGAGAACCTGCTGGCCACGCAGCGGCATCCCAGGGGCGAGATGCACCGTCATGCCCTCTGCACACCCGCAAGTGCTTCTGCAGCCGGAGGGATTT